TTTTGCTTGGGTCCCCAGTTAATTACTGTAATAATTTACACGTCCTAACACATATGAGTCGGGATCAGAGTGAAAACTGCGTTGTTGAAGCGCCCGTCGCCCGCAGGTACCACACTATCTCGATCATTTTGGAAACCGGCTCTGAGGGATGGCGGATCCCTCTCACTCTTCTCCCTACTGTAGTTGAAATCCGTGCAATTTTACTGAACGTCAAGGAACATCGAATCCAAGTTAGTGGTTATGAAATACAAGGGCCAAAATCTGAATGTGGCGTCAGCGGTGAGCCTTGGGTGACTTTCACTGACAACTTCACCATCCTTCGAATAGTTGTTCAACCTGCCCACTGGATTTATATACTGGGAATATACAGTCAACTGAGGTTGTCCTAATGTGTTATAGCCCGTGTTCCAATCCGGATTAATGACTACACTCCTGTGCGTTATATGTGGACTAGTCAGCTTAACTTTATTCCCCTCTGTCTGCCGTTTCAGACAATGTAGAACTCAGGCGACCATTTGATGTGTCCAGCAATCGGATATGAAAATTACACAACGGGCACAATCATTATCCGGTTCTTTTGCAAATCTATCTCCTGCAGGTTATGTTCGGTTGTGATTGAAATGCGAACGCACACGCTGTCTTTTATGTGAATTCTAGCTAACAAGGCGATCGACAAATAGTAAACAGGGCCGCGTTTAAAACAAACTAAAACATCGAATATAAACAGGCAGCGTTTTGTGTGAACAGCACCTTTCAACAATGAACTTTTACACTGCTTTTAGACATTTTCTGGTCAAACTGTTCAGAGACGAACAAATAGAGCAGGTGGGACTTGAACCCGGGTCTCCTGGTATAGATACATGGATACTACCACTGCAGGTCTCCCGTGTTAGAGGTACGGGCGCTACCACTGCAGGCCTCCCGTGTTAGAGGTACGGGCGCTACCACTGCAGGCCTCCCGTGTTAGAGGTACGGGCGCTACCGCTGCAGGCCTCCCGTGTTAGAGGTACGGGCGCTACTGCTGCATCACCTAATAACTTACGCACGCTGCTTTTACACTGACCACGATAGAGGGGAACAGCAACGTTCAGTTCCTCAGGACATGAAATGTGTTTTTCAGGTGAAACGGGTGTGTTGGCGCTGATTTAGTCTTGTGAACCAACATTGCTGAAGATTTGTATCTCACCGTCCACTTTTACAGTCAGTTGTTGAACGTCGCTGTCCTTGTTAAGCTTTTTCTGGTTGAATGGTTTCATGCAGGAGTACTGTCTGTGTTATGAATTTCCAAACACAGCCTGTTTATAAAATCCTTAGGTGCTTTATACAAACGAAAATCGCCTTCCGGGAATGTTAGCAGCAGAGAACGGTCTAGAGAAGTGTTTAGTTCTTATTGAAAATAAAGACCTTTTAGTTCCATTTCCACTGGTATAACCGAACACTGAAGCACTGGGGTACCTCGGTCAGACCGCGTACTGAATGTCTCTGCGTGTGTGATTATTGTTTATGGGGTTACAACCTCAAATACATCGCCGAGGCTCTATTTACCAACCACCGCATTATCAGTAAATGCCATGCTTGTGTTCTTCCTCGCATTACAACAACAACGACACCATCTATAAGTTTTTCACTGTGAAGCGCTAATGAAGTGTCTTTTTCAATCGAGGCCTACAAAATGGGTACTCCTAAACTAGCGAGACGAGCTGTGTAGGAGAATTTCAGCATCTCAAACAAGTGAATGGGATAAAACGCAAAAAAAATACATAGGCCCCCAACTAATGGCGATGGAACGAATAAGGCAAATAGCAAGAAAACTTGCTGGGAATCTGGATATTGTGTGTTGGAGTAAAATCTGGCCTGATAGTCCATGGGGCAATGCCAGCACATGATTGGAAATGTTAAATGCCTCCAAAATGATTGACTTTAGGGTACAGGGTACACTCCCAGACATACAGAAACTGCAACCTTAATTTATCACCGAATAGGAGCAGCGTTTCGTTGCTACCAGTCACTTGGCGAACTATCAGCTGCTCACAGTTACCAAACTACTATACTTTAATCCGATTTCTTTTTTGCAGAAGTACCTGCTGTTAACGAAATTAATCTTTTTATTTGACAAGATTCAAGCAATTGAGAAATATTCTACCATAGATGTAATGCTCGGGCTTAGTTTTTTTTTTACCTGCCATGTTTTTATTTAATGGTTAAATATTGGAATCACCTCTCTGTGAGCGGTGACTGGTCGCGTTTAGAGACTGGGTGACAAATCTACTGTTGGAGACAAATGCCGGGAGTGAACAATCTTCAAAACCCTCCCTCAGATGGAGGCAGATCTTCTCTGAACCACCGACCTGCACATGTCCTTTGCATTTAGGAAAGATGCTTGCCTTTTTTAAAAAAAATGTATTGGACTTAATTGAACGGTTTCAATAATCTCTAGGCTGCTAGGTTCAGGACAAACCAGGAGAAAGCTACAGTGATCTTTCACAATATAAGGTCTAGCCGGCCGGTGTTACACTGAACTGGGAGACAACCCTACTTTAACCCCAAAACAGAAATAACCGGAGAAACTCAGCAACACAGGTGGAATCAACGTTTTGAGTTGATTCTTTGGAATTGAACTGCCGCCAGACCTGCTGAGTTGCTCCAGCAATTTCTGCTCTGGTTTCGGATTTCCAGCGTCCCGATTTGTTTGTTTTATTGTCAGGAGCCAGTTGAACTGTGCCGTGTTACCTGCGTGGCCACTCTGCTCGGCATTACTGCATTGGAATATTCCGGTATCTCAAAACATTAGTGTCTCGTTACTGTTTGTGGACTATTAGTTATTCAAGTGTGATTTTTTTTTCACTGGGATTGGTAGTGTGCAATAAAACAATGATGTTGCCGCATCTCAAAGACACGGGATCATCAACCAGGACAGAACCTATTTTTGTACCTTCTGAGCAAAGCCATTTATACGGTTTATAAACGTTGTCTCAGAGTTTACAGCTGTGTAACTATGGTAAGAAACAGTTACACATTAAATATATAGAATATGCACAGGCTACCTTTCAAACTGCGCCCAAACATCGTGCCCTCTTTGAAAAGCCTGTGTTGCTAAATGATTATTTATCCTTTTACAGGTATTTGCATAAATTTCAAATGACATTTGGACCAGTCGGGACCTATTTAATGTTATTGGAAATTTGGTGCAGACTAGTCAATCCGAACAGATTTCCAGGCGGTTCTGGGGTTAGTGTGTGTGGCTGAGTTGTTGGGGGTAGTGAGGGGATAGTGGAAGGGGATATAACCATTGCCATCCCTACTTGAAACAGAAACAGGGTTTCTCTTCTGGGTCGATCATTTAGCGGTGAAGACGTGGAACCCCGCTTCCACAGAGGGATACAATAAAAAAGTATTTCCGTCTGAAATTAGTCAACTTCATTGCCGTATGTTGTGATGGTGCCCCAGCAGAGATTAATAAAACCCAGATGGTACCCAGTTTAAATCAGCAAAGCCCTATTCCTGAAAATCTTTAGCTTGCTTACTGAGAGAAAGGCCTTTCCCAGTAGACAGTGAAGCCGAATGCATTGGGACATATAACTGCGCGAACGATACCAAACGTTAGCCGCCCCTTTTTAGTTTAGGACAAAGAAACATAGGAAATAGGTGAAAGTGTAGGCCATTCGGCCCTTCGAGCCTGCACCACCATTTAATATGATCATGGCTGATCATGCAATCACAGTATCCCATTCCAACTTTCTTTCCCTACCCCTCAATCCCTTTAGCCACAAGGGACACGTCCAGCTCCCTCTTGAATATATGTACTTAACTGACCCCAACTGCTTCCTGTGGGAGAGAATTCCACAGGTTCACAACTCTTTCTTATTTCAGTCCTGAATGGCTTACTCCTTATTCTTAGGCTGCGGTCCGTGTCGGAGCTGTACCCCACACGTTTTACTGTCGCGCACAGTACAAAGGGACCGAGCCCAATGACCTGGTGTACAACTTCACAGAATTTCGACAATTGACATCAACCTGAATTTAACATTATCTTGAGGCTTTAAGTCCATTACGTTCCATAGGCCATCACTTCCATCACCATTAATGTCCCCCACACACTCCTCACTAACACACTTGCAAATTTCGGGTGGAAGGGCTTTTTGTATAGATTCCAGATTTGAGCATCTATTGAACGCCAACCGTGAAACCGGAATCATGGGTCGTGTTTGTCTCAATGTCATTGAATGTTGCAGAAGTTATTGCATTTAAAAGGTGCGTGTCAGCTTTTCCTCAATGGGTTTCCCACATGAAGCGGACACGGCACACACCTCACACGCCTATCTGATCGCTGACTGAGCGATGTTCTTACTGTCCTGGATAGGGACCCCGAGCTTTTCCCATTCTGTGCTTCGTGAGAAGATGCTGACACTATCTCGACTTCTTATCAAACTACTCGAGAGCGACTAATATCGGGACATCCTTAGGATCACACCCCCCCCCCAACACACACACAGACAAACCCCCTCCCCACACAGACACAGACACACATACACAACAGACACACAGACAGACACACATGCACTTACACATAGGCACACGCACGCACACATACACAGAGACAGACACACAGACAGACACACACACACACACACACACACACAGTAAACTGCAAAGCGCAACAGAGAGAAAGCAAACATTTCTGACCACAGTCTTTGGCTCTGCCAGTTTAACCGCTTCTGGTGAGAACTGCACATTGGACTAATTCTTAAAGTAAAGTTCTCTTGCCCAGGATCTATCCCAGCCGGAGGATCAGTGTGCATTTTGTTCGAGATCAGGTTAATGAGTAAACTATCGAGAGATATCATTAACTCCCGCTTGTTTTAGGGATTGAGAAGAATTGAGATGAGAGAGATGAATAGTTCACGTTCGTATTTCGCGCCACTAAGTTACTGTTAAAAAGTGCGTTCCCATCTAACCGGCGAGCTGTTTGTGAGTTAAAACGAATGCCCCCCCGTACCCACCATTGTCTTGCTCCACGAAACTGGTGACAGTGTTGGCATGGCTGCGAGCCCGGAGCAAGCTGCTGTTTATCCCTCTCCTCTCGGGCTCCGACAGGCTCTTGTAAAGTGACAGCATGTAGTCATGAGGCACTACCGAGCCGGGCCTCCGTGGTCGCCCGTGCAGCGCTGACGAGGAACCGGCACCGTCCCGGGAAGAGGAACCGTGCAGAGATCCCAGAGTTGCTGCTTCGAGGAAATCCCAGCAACAGAACAGGATCCAGCACACCAGCGCTACAGCTGTAGGACTGTCCATCCCGGAGAAAGGTGGCTTCCAAAACGTAGGGGAGTTGCAGCTCGACGGCTGAGCGATGCATACACACACACACACACACACACACACACCCCTTCGCTCACGGTGCCTGCCCTGGTTTTACATTAGAGACAGAGAGACACACACACACACACACACACAGAGAGAGGGAGAGACAGACAGAGAACTGCTCAGACTCCAACAAAGCTCAGGCGTCCGCAGAACAGGGCGACCCCACTGCGAATCTGATTGGCTCAAACTTGATCCCAGCAAAACCCTTCTCCCTGAAAAGAAAAAATAACTTTTTTTTTTCTTTTTGAACAGTTTGTTTTCACAAAGCGCGAGATGTAACTCTCACTGCAGCAATGCCTCGCAAACGAATTCTGAACGAGGGCGGAATTCTATAAATGTATATATATAAAACTACCTCAGTCCAGCTGCTTCCCAATGGGTGATTTTTGTTTCTGGTTGGGTGTGGGAGGGAACGAGTACATTTTTTTTCGGAGAATTGCATTCCTTGATAGTTCCCAGTTCTGAGGAAGGGTCACTCGACTCGACACGCTAACACTGATTTCTCTCCACACATGCTGCCGGACCTGCTGAGTTTCTCCAGCAAGCTTCTGTCTTTGTTCCGTGATGAAGAGCTTGACACGGCTGGAAGCAGCAGGTTTGTACGTTAAGGCTGCACTCTGTTTGACAGTGAGATGCTGTGGCCAGTCTGGGATGGTGCCGCGCTATTGCATTTCAACCACCGACCTACATGGAAATTTCACCCATTTCTCTATTTCCTTCACTAAGCTAATCAGATATGTGACTGAAATTTGCTGGGGGTGCGGGGGGTGGGCGTTCGTGTCATAATTGCCACCCCCTCCCACACTGTGATTTAAAATCTCAGGATCTTTGACCCCACTCCCACTCTCTTGCCCACTCCCTTTGCTGACGGTGGGAGTGAGGGGATCCCCCCCAAGAGTGTCTCATTACGATCCAGGTGATTACACTGCTACTTAATACAGGATGATGAAGGGAAATGCTGTGTCTCACCCGGGAACAGCACCCCCCTTCACTCCCCACTGCCTCGGGTGCAGGGCCAGGGAACATGCTTCTGCCGTACAGATTGCTCGGATGGAACATTTCCGCCCCATGGTTCGACAGAGGGAGAGAGAGACAGAGAGAGAGCTCTGGAAAGGCGGCTTCAGAGGATTACAATGTTTGAAATGTGAGAAGCCGTTGAGGGTAAAAGTGGCTGATATATCGGAAACTGCTGCTTCTATATGTCATGGCTCTCATTTGGTAATAAGATCGAGGAGGAAGTCCTGGTTTCTCAAGTACATCTGCGCTCCCCACCCCCACCTTCGCTTTTCAGCATCTACCTGCCAGCGAATTCCGAATCTCTAAAGACTAGGAATAACAACGCAGTATTTCATTATAACAGCGACCTCAGCACCTTTTAAACTTACTGCAATTCTGGTAAAATCTGCATATCAATTCTAACTAGACAAGAAGAGCTATAGAACAGCGCCGTACTAATTCGCCCCATTGCCTGTTTATTGTTAAACCAATAAGAGGCTTGGAAATCATTCTGGAAATTATAAGGTGAATGGGGACTCGCCTGGGTTTGAGAGTGCTCATTGAGAATTCCTGTGAGCACACATTGGGCAATGTTGCTCCTACAGGGAAAAACACAACAATAAAAACCGAAAGAACTGCGGATGCTGTAAATCAGGAACAAAAACAAAGTTGCTGGAAAAACTCAGCAGGTCTGGCAGCATCTGGGAAGGAAAAAACAGAGTTAACGTTTCGGGTCCGGTGATCCTTCCTCAGAACTGGAAAGACACAATAATATTGCACCTCAAGAGCGAAATTGCGCAGAAACAACGCAAGAAGGACAAGGGGAATGGTTAGAAAAACGCAGTAGCCTTGCTGCAGCATCCGCCTGAGTTCAATAATCGCGAATGTTGCATTGAAATGATATGGTTGGGTCCCTACTCCTGAAACGCGAGGCCTGGGTTCAAATCCCATCTGCTCCACGGGTGTGTAATAACATCCCTGAACAGGTTGTTGGAGGAAAAAATTAGGGTTAACAAGTTTTAAAAAAAGGGCAAATAAATATGTTCTCTGAATTGAAATGTGTCAGCCCACACACACACACACACACTTTCCAATTCCTGCTGCTGTACACGTTCACTTTCATGTTCGCATCAGCGCTACACATCAAGAAACTACAAACTAGTTAGGCACAATTGGATCTTGAAGTAATGTAATTGGACCATAATGCTGTCATCGAACCGGGCACTGAGTGAATTTACTGCTGGCCGATGTAATGTAATTAACACAGATCAGAGCCGGAGACATGGGGCTGTAGGGCTATAGGGAAGGAAAACACAGCGGCGCTATACTGGGGTAGCATCAACCGAAGGCCTGAACAATCGACAAATGGAGCTGGGGACTCGGTTGGGCCATGTCACATTGAGTGAAGCGAGTAATCCAAATCCTCCCTTCAGAGAAAACAAAAATCTTCTGTTTAAAACAAAAATCTGAAGTAATAAAAACAGAAAGTGCTGCAGAAACTCAGCAGGTCTGACAGCATCTGTGGAGAGAATAAAAGCAGAGTTAATGTTTCCAGTCCTGTGTGGACGTTTCTACAGAACTGATGTTTCAGATTTCTAGCATCGCAGTATTTCGCTTTTTGCAAAAGGAAAGTTATCGATGAAACAGCCGGATAATAAGATATCAGGCACTTCGAGAATTGGTTGCAAATTATTTAAAGATTTCTCTTTTGTGACACTCCACGTAGTTTGTACTTTCTCAGTTGTGGCTCATTAGATCATCTTTGATTTCTCGCTCAAGCTGAATTGTTCAGAATTTGCAAATGTGATGGAGATTGAACAAATCCCCACCACAATGACACTGTAACTCGGTGATTTAAAAAACGAGCGTAGTTCAACATAAACACACACTTAAAACACGATTTAACTCGAAAGGTCAATTATTTCCATGTACCACGAGATCAAGGGAAACGCATCAAAATAATTATATGATTTAAACATTTAAATGAGTTGACATTATACATTTTTATTGTTTATATGTTCCATTTTTTTATAGCAAAATTAACATTTTTCAAATATCCATTCAATAAGGGGTAATCTTTTAATGTAAAATGTAATTTTTTTCACTGCTTTCAAGTCAAATTCATCTCCCTTTGTATTATTCAACTGTATGTGAAGAGCGACATCTTCAGATACAGTTTAGTATTACACGGACACCCTTCTAATTATTTTCCATAGACTCAGACA